GATGATGGGCAAACTGCTAGTTTACATCACGCAAAAGGCGCGCTACAAGAATTATCTTTAAGCCAACTAGATACTGATCTACCAGAGGAGGAGCATTTTGATTCTTCATTGTCGTTTGAAGCTAATGCTGACCTGGAGTCTGGTGATATTTTGGTAGAAGAATCTCTCAGTCATTCATTACAAATGAGACAGTTTGCTGGTGATGTCCTGGATACTAGATGTTCTGGATCTGACATTTTAGGTAAGAGAAAAAGGCATAAAGGTAAAAATGTGGCTCGCTCAATTGAGCTGGGAATTGAAGTGGAGGAAGAAGACTCCACGACTCTTGCTACCTTCCTTCAAAAATCTGGTAATTATAGCAATCATTCAGCTCCTGCTACAGTCACTAAACAAAATTCGAATTTAAATGCAATCAGTGTTCCGAAGGAACACACATCGACTGCTGCTTTAAGATGCAGTGAGATCCAAGAGCAGGGAATTGGAATTAGACTTGGGAACACAATTGCTTCTGCAGCACAGGGAGATATTGAGGATGAGATGCCTCTTGCTCATTTTTTCAACAAATTGAAGAGAAGAAGGCTTGAACTTCTGATAACAGGCAGCAATCCAGGATGAGCTGCCTGCTAATTGCTCCAATTTTTCAATGTTTGGAGAAATTGCTTGAGCCGCACCATCGGTATATAGTGCAACAACCAGCACTCGATTTTGACTACAGTTTTTCGTTTTCTTTTGCCATATTTTTCATGAGGCCGGCTTGATGATACACTTACGAGTTTCTAATGTACAGTGAGACTGGGAATGACATATACAATACATTTGTTGTGCAAAAGAGGTGAACCATACGGCTTTGGTTTATCACGATGCACTTGTATGTGTATTTGATGTAGCACATATTTCACGGTGTCATAAAAAGTTGGTCTTTAATATACTACTGTGTTTTGTATATGTATATGTATTAGCTTGCACCATTGCCAATTTTAGAGCCCCATGCCCCCATATCTTGAATTAGACTCACTCTATCCTTTTTCTCCTCTTAATATCGCCATATCGGCTTTAGGGTTCCTGTTACGGTGTTTGTTAGCACTTTGCACTAGCTATTAGTTTTTATGATCAGATCATGTTACGAACAATTTTGCTGAAATAGTGAGGTTGTGAATAGGGATGGACCCGGGCTGATTCCGGTTCGGGCCTTGGCCCGGCCGGGCTTTTATTTGGGAATGGTGGAATCGGAACCGACCCGAGTAGCTGGCGGTTCCTGGCCGGGCCGATTCGCATTATAGGGGGCCCAAGCCCGCACGGGATTACAACGGTTCCGGTTGGCCCGAACCGGCCCCAAGACTGGGTACCGGGCCAGGTTGTGCCCAAAGTGTACTGGTCCAGTTCCGGGCCGGGCGGCCTGACCAAGTCCACCCCTAGTTATGAACTTAGGATGTTTTTACTTGGACTGTAATTTGCTGGTCTGATCTGGTCTGAACTGGTCTGGTCTGGGACAAATTACAGTCCATGTAAAAACATCCTTAAAACTCTTCACTTTTACACTTTATCTAATGGCTAAGACTAATTATTTATTATTATAAATAGTGTCTGTGTTTGATAAAATTAAATTTTGTGGAAATTACCTGGGAGGTCCATTCTCTATAAACCTCTATCAATAATGTCCGTACTACCTTTTCTTTTCATATTTAACTTTTATATTTTCACTTTTGGTTTTTTATTTCAATTTTAGACGGTTACCACCTATACCAATTTCCTTCCACCGCGAGTCTCCTCTTTCTTCCTGCTTTCTCTTTTCTTCTTCTCGAACTCATCTTTTCTCTTTCGTCATCTTCACGATAATGTCTACTACAAATACTCCTCGTGTTACGAGATCTTCTCGGCTGAATATCGATGGAAGAACTTCAGATCGTCACAGTGCTTCTGCTTCCCCTGTTCGTTCTAGAAGTCCGAACTTGGCTCCTAAGAAGAGAAGAAACGAAAATGCTCCAAAGCCTCGCAAAAAAAGCGAAGGTTTCCGTCAATGTACAAGCGAAGAACTCTGGTAAATCTGTTAAGGAACAAAAAAATAACAAATATCCTTCGACATTTAAGGTACTTCATCCGCTTTTGTTATATTTACAGTGCTTCTTCTCTTTTGCATGTGTACTTTTTGTTCTTGTATTTGAATTTGTTTTTTTTTTTAATTTTGTTTATTTAATTTTAATTTTGTTACTTTTTTTAAATCCAGGAGTGGCAGTATTTTGTTCCATCTGAATCGTGATTTAACAGTAGAGTTTGTACTTTTAGTAAGGATTGCATTTCTGTAAATCTTAAGGCCAAGATGACTGATGTGCAATTGGGATTATTTAGGGAAACCTGCTTTGGTAAATTGTTGGATTTTCAAGACCTTAAATTGCAGCCTCAACTTGTGCATTGTTTGCTTTTGCGAGAAATTAGTCACAGTATTCCCAAGGAGATCTGGTTTGATGTTTCTGGCTTTCGTTTGCATTTTTCAATTGCTGAATTTGCCGTTGTGACTGGTTTGAAGTGTAGTGGTGAATTTGATACTTCTACTATTCCTTCATCAGATAGTAATTCACTTATCAAAAAGAATTTCAACAGCTGTTCTAAAGTTACTCGTGAAGATATTGAAACTTGTTTTCTTGGTCAAAAGGCTGATTGTGATGAAGATGCAGTTAAAATTGCTATTCTGTATGTCCTTGGTCTGTTCTTCTTTACTTCATCTAAGGATAAGGTCATAAGTGAAACTTATTAGGCTATTGTTGATTCTGGTTTATGGGATTCCTATCCTTGGGGGAAAGATCTTTTTGATGTGACATTACAGAACTTGAAGGGCAGACTTGTTGGAGCAAATGATTCGGAAAGTGATTATTTCTTTTATCATATTTTAGGATTTCCTCTTGCTCTTCAGGTCTGGTTTTATGAGTGTTGTGGTTACTGCGATGGTGTGTTTGCTTGTAGATCTGTTTCTACTATTCCTCGAATGTTGTCTTGGCATTCTTCCATTGCACACACTTTCAAGAAGTTGAATATGGAACTTCTTTCTTTATCTGCCTCTCAGGTTTTTGTCTTGCTTTTGTTTTCATTATTACTTTTTTGTTTTTATTATGATTTTATTCCATTTAATTTATTTTCATTTTATGTTTTTTATTTATCAGTTGAAGCTACACAATGTTGAACTTACTGCCCTTGAAAGTGAATCACCTGAGTTGCATGCTTTGTTTTCATCTCATCCATTGAGGCCCCAAAATATGTCATCTGTTTCAAATGCTGGGGAGGGAACTAGTTCTTCTTTTGATGGTGTATTTTCGAACTCTGTTCTACAGGCTTTTGAAAACCGGCTTGACACCAAACTTCTTGCTTTCAAAGAGTTTGTTCAGGGCAAGTTTACTGATTTAGAACACAAGCTTGACCGTGTTATTTCACTTTCCCATGTTCAATCTTCCAAACACACAAATTTTGATTTTTTTCTCTCGTGATATAAATCAACATGTAGAAGAACCTGTAGTTACTAATTCCGTTAGTGATGATGATGTTGATACTGCGAAAGGTCTTTCTGATAATGATAATGACTTTGATATTCTTTCTGCTGGTGGAGATGTAAATGTTGATCTTCATTCTGGTCAGTTAGATGAATCACTGATATCTGCTGACCCTAATGGACATGCCTCAGATGATACACAGGTTATGGATTGTTCCTTTTTTCATTTTGTGTTCATTGTTTAATTTTGTTTCACTGTTGTTTCTCTGCTTTCTTTCTTTTTATGAAATTCTTTATTTCCATGCTTTTAATCTCATTGATCCTTTATGTTATCAGATTGCGGATGATGTTCCTGACATGACCCGTCATTTGCAGCAGTTGGAGTCTAAAGATTCTGATATTTTCCTTCATTTCATATATGATCTTGTGTTCTCAACATTTACTTATTGCATGTCGGCCGAGAATGATACTGTTTTGATGGCTTCTGTTGAAAATATGGTTTTTTCTACTGTGACTGAGTTACATTATGCTGAATTTGATGATGCTTTGATCCACTCATTCCAGAACATGGTTATTTCTACTGTTGTTGATTTCATGAGTACTGAAAACCAAACAATTGACCATACACTAACTTCTGCTTGTGATGATGTTGTTGAGGATGATGTTTTCTTTGCTGAGCTTGATTCTCTTGTTTCAGATTTTAAAAATTCCAAGGTTTTCACTTTGTATTTTGTCTTGTTTCTTTTATATTTTCTCATTTTATACTTTTATATATTGAAATTCATTTTTTATTTTGTAGTCTTCTAGCAATGATCCTGATTTAGGTTCTTCAACTGCTTCGATGGCATTAGTTCCTTATGTGCCATTTGTTCCTCCCATTTCTGTTGAGCATACATCTGAGTCATTGCTTAGGAAAAAGAGGAATGTGAAGCCGAGTACTTTTGTCAAATCTCCTTTTGTTGCAAAGTTTGATTCTGGATGTGGGTCTGTTCAGCCTTCTACTGTTAAGCTTCCATGTCCTTTTGCTGATGAGGCAGTCTGTGTGCCACCCCCTTCTATTCTTGGTGCTTTTAACATTTTGATTGATGAATGAGCTTATAAGCGTAAAAGGTTGTTTATAATATAGCAATATCTTACATTTCAGTTTTATTATAGTTTGGTTTTTGACATATTGTTTATCATTTTGTAGATCGAAGTTGATGTATTTTTCTAAAGTTGATCATCTCACCCCTGGATATGATTTTACTGTTGCTTTTGTGGAATCGAAGACATGGTTCCACTCTCTTTATTATTTGGGACAGTTGATATCAGATTATGTACGTTTACTTGCTTTTTTAAATAATTTTATTTTAAGTTCATATTTATTTATTAGTTTCTGATTTCTTTTTTTCTTGCAGCATTTAGATGTGATCTTTTATTACTTCAGGAAGAAGGCTGAAGTTACTAAGACTTGCAAAATCAGTTTCACAACAACTGATATTCTTTTTAATGTGAATGTACTGAAAGCATATGCTGCAACCCAAGATAAAACATTTTCTTGGTCCAAGTTTGCAGGTCTATGTGATTCTATTGTAGGGCTTCAATTGCCCTGTTCAAAAGCTTGGGAAGAAGTTGACCATGTTTGTATGCCAATTTACATTAAGACGCAGATGCATTGGATTCTAGCTAGATTTTGTATTAACGATTGGTGCATATATGTTTATAATTTCATGGTCAATCCAAGGGACATAGCTCATGCTACAAATGCTGTTAAGCCATATACTGTGATTCTGCCTTTGTGTTTTAGACACATGGACGACTTTTCTAAACGTGCAGTGGATGTTAATAAGAACTTAGATGTGAAATTCATGACTAACTTGCCTGTTCAAGAATCAGCGTAAGATTATTTATCTTATCATACTGATTTTGTTTTGTGCATTATCCCATCTATTACTAATACAAATATTGATTTTGATTATTCTTTTTTTAGTGACTGTGGGGCTTATGTTGCTGCTTTTGCTGAATACTTCATTGATGGCATAGAGATTCCTCCCTTTTTGGATATTGAGCTATACAGATTGAGGCTTGCCTATTTTCTTTATCAGTATGGAGTGTCTAAGCTTAATGGTGAAGTGCAGAGTGATGGTGATGAAGGAAAACGTAAGCGCAAGCGCAAGAAGCTGAAGAATTAGATAGATGTAGTTATGAGTAATCTTTGTATTGTAAACATACTTTTGTTAAGTGGCTATATATTTTTGTTTTTTGTGGAAATGTAATGCTATATGAAATGCTTCCTATGAACATCTGTTGTATACTGATGTCATACACTTCATGTATTCTATATACCAATATATGACTTATATTTTCCTTGTTTCTTTGTGTTTCCATTACTACTTTATTCTTGTTTATTTCTGTTTCTTATTTCCTTGTTATATTCCAAGTCTGTTTTTTAGCCTTTAGCTTGCTTATTTTTCTGTACAGAATTTGTATTGATTTTTCCATCTTACTGGTATAGCTTTTTTTTATTCTGTTATAGTTTGTTACTTGTTTTTTTAAACTTTGTAATTGTTTCCTCAATTGATTCTACTTGTTTCTCGATGTTTTTAAATAATGTATTGTTTCTTTTATTGTTTGTTGTTGTTTTTTCTTGTTTCTTGTTCATTTTTAATTCAATACTTGTAATTTTCCTCGTGTACTATATGCACCCAATCATATAGAATTATGATTTTTATTGTTCACACTTATCCTCTTTTTAATTGACTTTTAACACAAGTAATAAATATAAGTTACAAAACACTTCCCAAAATCGTTTCTAAAATTGTTTTGAGTTGTTTCTTATTGTTTCTGGTCTCATACATAATTCGAGATTTGTACTTAAAAAATATAAAATGAATACACAGTCATATAGAATTCAAACACAGTCATATAAAATTCATACTAATAGTGTTCATGCACATTTGAATTGAACTTCAACAGAAATGATAGATACAAAAATTACTAAAACAGTTCTCAAACTAGCTATAGTATCTACTTTTGCGGTGCATTCCTGCATGTCTTTCTATTATGTCCTTGCTTTCCACACTTCCCACATTTGTTTGTTGTGGTAGTCTCCCAGTGTGCTTTATATCTCTGCTTTTTCGGCCTTCCTGCCTTCTTCCTTGCATGTGGTGGATAAACTTGCAAAATTGGCTCTGACATATCCACTTGCCATGTTTTTTGATCTGGAATAGGATGCACTGTCTCACTGTAAGTTTGCAACAATGTTTTCTTTGTGTAGTAAGATGAACAAAAACTGTACGGCTCTTGATTTTTCTTTTTTAGTACTGCCAGTGCGTGCATACAAGGCAATTCTTCCATTTGAAACCTTCTACAAGTGCACGTTTTGTCATCTAGATTAACAATGAAGATTCTGTTCATTTCATAAACACTGAATATCACCTCATTAGAACTTTATGTCTAAATTATATACCTTCAGTTTCATGTCTTTGATGTAGTTCTGTTCTAGAGTTTCATGAGGAACTTTTGCAAGTTCTGTGAACGTATTTCTTGCACCATTTCTGTTTACATGTGTCCATATTTGTACCAATGTGTGTAAGAACTGTAGCAAAGCGGTTATTGGCATATTTTTTATCTTTTTCAGTACCGCATTTACTGATTCTGCTATGTTTGAAGTCATGGTTGAGTACCTTTTGGAGATTGAGAACACTCTGGTCCATTTTTCATACCCAACACCGTACAGATATGGAACTATTTCCTCATCAATCTTCTTCAGTTCCTCAATGTGGCAGTCAAACTCATCCCTTGTATAAGCTTGTGCTGTTTCAAAATAATTGTCTTTCATTTTTTTTGTTTTTCTTTTGAACTTTGTCTTGAGGTTATTAAACAAATGGTAAATGCATACCCCATGTCCAGATTCATGATATACTTCTATGACACCTTTAACAATGCTCTCATGCCTATCAGAAACAATCACCATTCCATTCCTATAACCAAAAGCTTCTCTAATATTCAAGAAAAACCATTTCCAGGATTCATCATTTTCAGAATCAACAACACAGAATGCTAATGGAAATATTTTCCCACATGCATCTTGTGTTGACGCTGTTAACAGTGTGCCCCCATATCTCCCGGTCAGGAATGTGCCATCAACTACTATGAATCTATGATCGGTCTGCAGAATTTCCAGTCATGTATTGATGCTTTGATTGCCATGAATGCATATAAAAAAGTATTGTCTTCATTAAGTTTGATTTGCAGAAAAGATCAAGGATTTGTTTGTTTAACAATACTCATGAATTGTTGCAGAAACCTGTAGGACTCTTCTGGTTTTCCTCTTAGCTTAATTAGTGCCTTTTCTTTTGCTCTCCACGCTTTTAAGTAGCTTATTTCAATGCCATACTGCTCTAACATATCTCTCTGTACATCCATTGCATTATATGACGTTTTTTGATCCACCAATTTAGACTTAATACAGTCTGCTACCAAACTGGATGTCGCATGTCTTTGATCTGTTAATCTGACATCCAATCTACAAGAATGTGTTTTTATAAACTTCACGACAATGAACCTTCCCAAGGTTCCAGTTTCTTTTGATCTTATCTCTCAACTGCACTTTTCATGCAAGCATTTTGCAGCAAAATACTTTTTATTTGTCTTATGTGCCTTGTACTGGAAGTGATTTTTGATAACATACATCTTAAGTGCTTTCCTGAACTCTTCCCTGTTGATGTAAATCAGACCTTCTTCAGGATCTACATCACTTTTAATGCAATTTGTTGATGCTAGCTCAATACATTTTTGTTCCAGTAGTTCTTCACTGGTTTTATTTGCCCAAGCTAATATAAAACCATTAATGTCCAACTCTTCACTGATTGTTGAACTATCTTCAGACATTGTCACTACTTGCATGCTACTTGTTTCTTGTTGTTGATATCGCCCAAGAAATATGTTGCAAGTTGTTTCTTCATGTACATCAGCAAGGCTGATACATAGAGGGAATTTGGTGACATCTATCTCTTGTTTCTTAAGGTGTAGGTAAAACAACAGTGCTGAGTTATCTTGTATCATCAATGGTGGATAATTCTCTCTGACTTTGTATTGAATTATCAGTGCAGTTGATGGTCTTTCTATTCCAATCATGTCTCCTATCTTTGCAATCAACTCAGGATAAGAACTATTTGTAGCTAAAGTAATTCCAAAGACATTGAAATTCACATACTCCATTGTTTCATTCCATTCACCATCGTGATGAACAAAAATAGGAACTGTTTCCATGTTCCCTGTTATTAATAATAGACATCGTTCATTCTTAATGAACTCCAAATAATTTTACAGAGTATTGCAATTTGCAGAAACAAAAACAAAAGTTATTCATTCATCACTCTAATTTAAAAAAAAAATAGAACAACTCATTCATCAACAATTATTCGAAAACATAAACAAAACTTACATTCATGCTAAAAAACGAAGTGTTATTTCATGCTCAAAAACGCGATCGAATAGCTTCTCATATAACTAATTATCGCACCTTGATTTCTCAGTAGAATTGGAAATAGGTAATCGTACTTGGTAAAATTACCTGATAATTTTGATTCAGTCTCGCGATCCAATTTGTGCTCAGAAAACGCGATCACGCCATGAATGTTGAGATCATCCGATTTGTTCGCAGCTCAGAAAACGCGATCACGCCACGAAAACTTCTGCAGTTTTCGCGCTCTGGAGACGACGAGTAGCTTTGGGTTTCTAATTTGGTTATGTTTATATATGGACTTTTTTTGAAAAGATGGTATTACGTGGCTTATTTTTGAAATATGAATCTAAGTTTCTAAAAGTTGATATTATTTCCCTTATTATGGCTGGTCGGGAAAATTTCCCTTAAGTTTTTGACACGATCTCACTGATTAAGCCTAATGAAAATAAAATTGTGTGTTATGTAGGGGTGGTACCCATTCCAAATTTGAGTCCAATCAAATGATCGGCGGCTGCTAATATATCTCGTGGTACCAAAAAAGTATTATTCTGGGGTATATCAAGATTAAGTCTTCAGTTCATATTTCGTCGACCAAGCCGTCCTAATTCACATCTTTGGTGATTTTTTTTGTAATTCCTCACTCTATCGAACCGGACTGTAATGGTACTAAACCGAACATCGAGTATTTAAACGGATGTATGAAATTTTATCTCAAACCAAAATCGTACCGTTTCAAACGGGTATGTGACCGGTCCTAGATTTTGAGAATAAAAAATATCGGATCAAATTGTTGAAGAATAATGTCTTTGAAATTTTTTATATGTTTTCATACCAATAAATATCTTTTATAGATCAACAATTTTATATATCCCTAAAATAACCAAGTGTGTTATATAAATATTGTTATTTTTTCCTTTTGTCTTATATTTGATATATAATGAAAGAATGCTAAAGTTTTAAAATTATTAATGACTGCTAATTTCTAGTAATGTAGTGTATATTACTTTCTGTTGTATCATATTTGTGTAAGTTTATAACTTAATTAATATGGTTTGAATCTTAACTTTTACAGTTCAATTATGAATTAAATTAAAACCAATATTCAACTTTGAACAAAGAAGAACATTAAAACTTTCTATTATATTAAACAATTTTACGATATTCTTTTTATATTCTATGAATTTAATAAAGATGATATTTTTCTAGTGTATCGTCATTTTGCTATATTTTTATTTAATTGTGTTGAACTATTTGAGTATTTGTGAATTTAAATACAAAAATGTCAGGGTCTTGAATCTTTTCTAGTATTTAGTATGTACTTTCTTGTATTTTTATCAACATTTCATGTGAATATGCCGGTGTGATGATATATACTAATTGCAAGATTTGTACAAATGTTTCGGCGTGTGTTTGGCATTGTACCAAACCCTTTTCGTACCATTTCAAAATGACATGGTACCACCCTTAGAACTGGACCGTACCGAACTATTAGAAACCTTACGGGTACATTACGGGTTTTGCTAATTTACTGCATCATTCCGGACCGCGCCACCCCTAGTTGTAAGTAGAGCCGAATGACGGGCCAAAATTAGTGGGCTAGCTAGCCCATTTGAACTCATTTATTGGTGGATTAGGGTTTTGATTTTTTGACCCTATTATTTCACGGGTCAACTCACGCGGATTGCGGGTTAAGTGGGTTGGCCCACACGGTTACAGGTTGGCCCGCAGGCCAAAATACAAATATATACTTATGACATTTATTATATTCAGATGTTCTCTTACTACCAAAATTATTACAATTAGAATTATACACTTGCCGTTTTAAAACCATTGAAAAATAAATTGAACATACATACGTAGTATATTTTATGTAAAACATAATTTGCAAAAAAAAAATGTTTTGCAATTAATAGTCATGATGTTCAAATAATCGTTCAAAATGTTTAAGTAGATTTTTACTTTTATACAATGACTATTTTGTTAGAATATCCTCTTATGATTTTCCTTGTCATGTACTCCCTCCGTCTCACTATGATTGTCTCATTTTACTTTTTCGGGAAATTACACTAAGATTGTCTCATACCAAATTTGATAAAGTTTGTGTGGCTCTAAATGGATTGGCTCGACTCACGAGTTAGATTGGTTGGGTTAGGATTAGAGAAATTCTAGCCCGTCAGTAAACGGGTTGGCTCGACTCAACCCACATAAAACATAACCCGTCACGGGTCATGTCGGGTTGGCCCATTTGACGGCTCAATACGTAAGATACACCTTGATCAGACTATCTTTGCCTTGCAAACATCTTCACAAGCTAAATATGTGATCCAAGTGGAACTGGAACTCATGGACAAAGCTGTCTTCTAGAAAATAGCATCTGGATTTTCTAACTTAAAGGGGTAGTTAGACACTTCTCCCCAGATCGAGACGCTCCCCTTGCTCCGGTATGGGTTGTCCTGGAGGAGTGCAATTTTGTACACCCCCACTAAGGAGGGTGAACATAACCCCTGTAAAGTATTGCCTTGCCACATGGCATGCAAAAAGGGGTGGGGTGAACATCACCCTCTCAAAAGAGGGTGAACAAAATTGTTCTCGTCCTGGAGGGCCTCCCGATTCATCTCCATGATGTTCGGGCCCTCTATTCAATTGCAGGTTTGCTGGGTAGGCCACTTAGAATAGATACCCCAACTGCAAATTTTTCAAGGCCATCCATGACTAGAGTGTGCATTGAATTAAAGCTGTCTGGTTTTTTCCCAGACTGTTGGATACGAAAATATTCCTATTCTTTGCCTTACTTGCTCCAGATTTGGCCATTCATGTAGTAAGGCAACTGTTTCCGACCCTCCACCGATGATGCCACAAGCTGAGGTCACTGCTGCGAAATTACAGTCCCTTGTGCGAATGGTGGAAATGTAATGGCACCTGCTGTTATTGATCTCTCCCCTAATGCTGTTGTCTTGGAAAACCCTCCGTATGAGGCTTGTGAATCTGCCCTTGAGAATGCTCAAAATGAAACTGGAACCAATATGGTTCAAAGTAATGTTGCCTACACGAGTTCCATTCTGATACCAGGAAATGATGAAATAATTTCTGATCCTACATCAAAAATAATTTCTGATCCTCCAATGGGCAATCTGGTTTTTTCCAGACTGTTGGATCCGAAAATATTCCTATTTTTTGCCTTACTTGCTCCAGGTTTGGCCATTCATGTAGTAAGGCAACTGTTTCCGAAATGTAATGGCACCTGCTGTTATTGATCTCACCCCTAATGCTGTTGCCTTGGAAAAACCTCCGTATGAGGCTTGTGAATCTGCCCTTGAGAATGCTCAAAATGAAACTGGAACCAATATGGTTCAAAGTAATGTTGCCTACACGAGTTCCATTCTGATACCCGGAAATGATGAAATAATTTCTGATCCTCCAAAAGATGATGTTACACATAAATCTGTCCCAACTACTGGCCCCGAAAGATCTGACGCTAACGACTTTGTCCCTCCTATTTCCAATGACGAGACCTTCTCTGATGAGGCACCCCTGTTTTTTTGTAGGGAATTTCCACCTTCTTTTTTGGAAGTTGCCAAGAGACATCTCACTATCCAACAAATGAACATGGGAAGAGATTTCTTGGAGATAGCTAGGAAACTCCATAGCAATGGGAATGGAAGCTTGGATGCAACTTCCTCATGTCTCCCATATACACCTATAAATAGGGAGTGTATTGTTGTTCATTTGTATCAGTTTAGAAAGTGAGAAAAGTGTGTGAAGAGTGAAATACACTTAGAGTAGAAGTGTATTGGTGAGGATTGGTTTTTTGTAATAGTTGAGTGTGAGAGTTTGCTCCTCCTATTGTAATTCTGTTCTTGATACTGAATAGAAGAATTTTCCAATCCCAACAAGTGGTATCAGAGCGAGGTTGAGTTTCCATACACTGTTTTCTCATTTTCAGATAAATTTCTACAAGTTAGAAAATCGTAATTTTTGAAGTGGCTCGGAATCACGATCTGATCATACCGTTAGATTCGTCTCGTTGAGACGAGAAATCTGGTATTTTTAGGGAATTTTTTGGCTATCGGAAGAGGCCGTACGGGCCGCCCAAATGCCGCCTGAAAACTGCCTGCGTCATCACTGTGTCATCACGCAGTCCAGAGGAAGAAGACGATCCACGTCAGATGCCACGTCATCGCCGCGTTGGGCCACGTCGTGCCGAGTCATCGGCCACGTCATCCACCCGAGTCGTCCGTTGTGAGCCACGTCAGATGCCACGTGGCTACACGTCATCGCCACATCAGCGAGGAAGCAGAGCCACGTCATCCGCCTGCTGGGCTCCAGGCTGGGCTGCTGCCTGAACCGGACCAAACCGGTTCGTAGTTGTGGAGGCCGGTTCACCCATTTCCAGACCGGTTTTGGACGAGGTCAGACCGGTTCCTACCATTTTCGGCCATTCCGGATCCAACGGTGAGCTCCGTTTGTCCAAATTCGGCTTCGAAAATAAGGTACGAGATATATTGAGTGTTTTATTATGGATAAATCATCATTGGACATCATGATTGCGCTCACTTCCACAAATTACAATATGTGGAAGTCTCGAATGGAGGATTTGCTAAATTTGAGGGATTTAGCCGATCCTCTTGATAATAATGGCGTGAAACCGGATAAAAAGACGGATGAAGAATGGACAAAAATGAATCGAAAAAACTGTCGCACAAATTCGACAGTGGATAGATCATAGTGTGTTCCACCATGTTGCGCAAGAACAAAGTGCTTGCACACTATGGGAGAAGCTTGGTAGCATGTATCAAGCAAAAACCGCCAGAAATAAGACGTTACTAATGAGGAGATTAGTAAACTACAAGTTACGAGGAGGTATTTCGGTGTCAGAACACACCAGTCAATTCCAGGATCTTGTGAATCAGTTGAGCACCACCGGATGGGTTCTCAAAGATGAAGAGCAGGCGATACTACTCTTGAGTTCTCTACCTGACAGCTGGAAGACTCTTGTTGTCACTCTTAGCAATTCTGCTCCCAATGGCAAGGTGACTATGCAGATGGTCACAGACGCCCTTATGAACGAAGAAGCCCGAAGAAAAGAAGCCGGGACTGAACAATCATATGCCTTCGTGTCAGAAACCAATAGACGAGGGGGAGGCAGAAATGGAGGAAGAAGTCGAAGTCGAGGTAGAGGCCAAGGTCAAAACAGAGGAAATTCTCAAGTTCGCGGCAGATCGCAAGAACGAGGTATGTCCCATGAAAACAATACTTGGTTTGAAGGATATTGTAATTACTGTGGTAATTATGGGCACAGAAAAAGAGATTGTAGAAAGTTTCTACGAGAGCAGCCACAAACGGGTCAAAATACTAGCCAAGAAGATGCTGAGTGAGATCATGGTTAGTTTGTCATTAGACGTGTGTCTTGTTACACATGGTGAACAAGAATGTTTACACGTAGGTACTCATGATGTTAAGTGGGTGATTGATACAACCGCATCATTTCACGCCACTCCACACCAGAACTTATTCACATCTTATAAGTCAGGAGACTTTGGAGTTGTGAAGATGGGAAACACCAGTTTCTCAAAGATTGTTGGCATTGGTGATGTGCACATAACAACCAATGTCGGATGCGCACTTGTGTTGAAAGATGTTCGACACGTTCCGGATCTTAGATTGAATCTTATCTCCGGTACAGCTCTGGATCAGCAAGGATATCTTAACAGATTCAAAGAAGGTACATGGAAGTTATCTAAATGTTCCTTGGTTGTTGCAAGAGGCCATAATTGTGGTACTGTTTATAAAACTCATGCAAAGTTGTGTCATCCAAGTCTCAATGCTGTTGAAAAAGAGATATCACCAAACTTGTGGCACCGGAGGCTCGGCCACTTGAGCGTGAAGGGATTGACAACTCTTGCTAGGAAGGAAAGCATTTCCATGGGCAAAGGTGTTGCCCTAGATCCATGTGAGCACTGTCTATTCGGGAAACAACACAGGGTTTCCTTCAGTTCTACCAGGAAGAATCATTCAGAGTTACTCAGTCTTGTACACTCTGATGTATGCGGACCCATTGAAGAGGAGTCACTTGGAGGAAGCAGATACTTCGTGACATTCATTGATGATGCATGACGAAAGGTATGGGCTTACTGTTTAAAGAGTAAAGATCAAGTGTGTGATCGCTTCAGATTATTTCATGCCATGGTAGAAAGAGAAACTGGGAAGAAGCTGAAGTGTCTATGTTCAGACAATGGAGGAGAGTACACTTCCCGGGAGTTCTCAGCATATTGCGCCGCATATGGAATCAGACATGAGACGACGGTTCCACGAACTCCGCAACACAATGGTGTAGCCGAAAGAATGAATCGGACCATTATGGAGAAAGTTCGTTGCATGCTGAGTATGGCTAAACCACCTAAGTCATTCTGGGGTGAAGCTGTGCTGACAGCTTGTTATCTTATAAACAGGTCACCTTCTGTTCCTTTAAACTTTGAAGTGCCAGAGAAGAAACGGTCAGGAAGAGATGTTTCTTACTCTCACTTGAAAGTGTTCGGGTGCAAGGCATTTGCACATGTGTCCAAGGAGTTGAGACAGAAGCTTCATCTCAAGTCAAACCCATGCATTTTCATCGGGTATGATGATGAAGAATTCGGATACCGGTTGTGGGATCCCGAAGTGAAGAAAGTTGTACGAAGCAGAGATGTTGTATTTCATGAAAACGAGTTTCATGTGTGTGCTCCAATAATCCGCCAATAACATACTCCAGAAGACGAAGTGCCTGTATCATCAAGCATTCCTCTCAGCGACGAGGAGATGCATGATATTACTGAACAAGAGAGTGATGGTTCAGTAGGTGATGATGATGCTCACAGTGATGAAATTCCCCAGCAGGGGGAGCCTTCATCTGAAGATGAAGCTAAAGGTATTCATGTTCGACGTTCTATGCGAGGCATAGTTCCACAGAGAAAGTATTCCACATCCGAATGGATACTTGTCAGCGAGGGGGAGCCAGCGAGCACCTCAGGAATGAGAGAAACAAAGAAAAAGGTGGAGGGGGGGATTTGTAGGGAATTTCCACCTTCTTTCTTGGAAGTTGCCAAGAGGCATCTCACACCTTCTAGGAAGGAGCTATCCAACAAATGAACATGGGAAGAGATTTCTTGGAGATAGCTAGGAAACTCCATAGCAATGGGAATGGAAGCTTGGATGCAACTTCCTCATGTCTCCCATATACACCTATAAATAGGGAATGTATTGTTGTTCATTTGTATCAGTTTAGAAAGTGAGAAAAGTGTGTGAAGAGTGAAATTAATACACTTAGAGTAGAAGTGTATTGGTGAGGATTAGTTTTTTGTAATAGTTGAATGTGAGATTTTGCTCCTCATATTGTAATTTTGTTCTTGATATTGAATAGAAGAATTTTCCAATCCCAACATTTTTCACACTATTGCAAGTACAATAGAACCACCTGATAAGGATGTATGCCTCGACGATTTCACAGAAGTGAAGACGAGAAGAAACACATACAAGAACTTTACTGATGGAGACAGCCAGCTGTATTACGCAGTCGGATACGCATTACCAGAAGCCAATCCCGAAGGCCTCAGGATCCGCAAAAACTCGCCGCAGCACTCAAACGATTCAAAGCAAAAAAACCGGAAGCAACTTTCTACAGGCCCTACCTTCAAAAGACTATAAAATTTCATAATAAATACAACAGACCTATCTCAACTTCTGTTGGGATGCCCACAAAAAATTTCAATTGCTGAAGTTGTACCTTATTTTCATTAACTTTTTCATTCTTTGTACTTCTCTGTTTACTCCTTATTGTAACTCTCCTTAAGCACATGTATTAAAATAATGTTAAATAAAGAATTATTTACAAAATTATAATCCAGTTAAACGTATTTATCCATATAGTTGGTGACTTTCTGAAAAGTCGAAAACCCATGCACGAAGTTAACGAATCGAGGAAATTAGGAAAGCAACATAATAGGACTACAGGAGACTCATGGGTCTATGTAAAATAAAAAATCTCCTTTTTCTTTAATGTACGGAGTACTATACATTTTATATTTTTGTTCCAATTTTTACGAATAATATATCAATTTAATAAAATTTTGTAATATTTCAAATGAAACCGAAGATCATTTGGGCTGAAAAGCTACTTGGAAGTATGCACCGTCAATATGGTGCTGTTTAGTTCGTATGTTCTGAATTTATTAAGATCTGATCTGATTTTTTTATTTGATATGATCTAAATTTTTCTGATCTGATCTGAATGTTTGATCTCGTGTGACTCTTTTTTATCAGATCTGAACTTTTGAATTGATACTACGTATATTATAATAAAAATAATAATAACAATGTGCTATCCCAATTGTATGTAATAATTAGTATTTATAATAAATATCATCAACCCATGTTGTTGTAGTAATGGTAATAATAATAATACTAATCATCATCTATCATCTATCATCATCATCACCATCATCTATCATCATCATCATCTTTATAATAATAATAATTTAATAATGTTAGAATTTTTGCAATTGGGTATGAATGTTTCTGATCTGTGCTTTTCTTATCTAGTGTGATCTGGTTTAATCTGAATATTTATGATCTGATCTTATCTTATCTAAATCTTTATGATCCGGTCTGATCTGAATATTTCTTATCCGATTTGAATCTTTTTTTATCTGATTTGAATTTTACCGATCTCAAAAGATTTGAATAAATTAAGAATAAACAATAAGCAATAAGAATAAGATCAACTGAACATCACCTAAACCTATTTCTGAACCGATTTTCAATCTAGCACAATCAATATATTCATCCAACATAAGTTTTTAATTAAATCCTTACATTTTTTTTATTCTACATCAACTTTTAGCAAAAACTTTTTACAAAATGAAGATCTGATTGCTAAAGCTTTTTAAACTCATTTTTTTGTTAAGCATATCTGAGTGTTAAAATTAAATTCTCATGATAATTTTATACTTCTTTCTGTTATATTTTCAATATAAGAAAGAACTGAAATTTTTTACTTTCTAAATCAAACTAAAAAAATTGGAATTTAATTATTTGGTTGCTTCAAGCCCTTTCTTGAAAAAATAACTGAAAGATGTATCTAATAATCATGAATTCATGAGATCTTAATTGGATCTGGTTAAGAGAAATTTCAGTGTAAAAAACTTTAGCAACATGATCTTCAAATTTGTGTTTTCATTTGAACATGTTGAGAATCAAGTTTGTTGACGATGTAGTAGTTTTTTCATCACTTACGGTCTTCAATTTGTTTTTAATCTTTATATGTACACTGCAAACAAGTTGCCCCATACCAACAGTTTTCTTATCGTTAATATATGTTCCGTCAATATAGACCAACATAAATTTAAGCAATTTATATACTATTGGAATAGACATCATTTGACTATACCAACAAAAATTTATGCAATTCCGACAGAAATCTTAACTTGGTATACATTCCGTCGGTATAGACCAACGGCAACGTATTTTGCTACCGTGGGAATAGCTCATTAACTTATACCAACACAATACTAACCGAGTAACCGTTAATAATTAACATTTACCGTTAGTATAGTAACAACCATTTAATAACTCACATACACACCCATAACTTTCAAACATAATTGCAAATTGAGATCAGCAATAAAAACATAATTTCAAATGTCATTCAATTATGGATGTAAATCTGTTTACAAATTCAAGTAAATGATATCATTACTAAACAAAAAGTAATTCTACCGACTTTTTACATTTTATAAAACTTACACTACTACATATTAACAAGTCCAACTGTCTGGCACAAAATCAAATTGTGAAGTTCAATTTTCCATCCCAAAGCTTTCCTCTTTTCATGTTTAATCTATCAATTCTCAATACCTGAAATTAATACAATTCATGTTAAGCCAAATGAATAATAAACTGTAGGAAATATTGTTGCATAGATGACAAATAAAGATTAATTAGACCATATAGCTATAATATGTTTATAACTATATTTCATATAGTTCCTGCATAAGCATATAGTAGAGTTTATAGAGATTCTTATGAATGATAGCATCACAATCAGAGATAATCAACTCTTGATCTTAATAATTCTGCATTATCCACTTTTTATTAAGATCAACAATAATATTGATTTTAAATATCAAATGCTATTTTAGCTTCACATAATAATGAAGCAAACCATTTCTACAAATTTTCTCAACAATCTCTGACCTAATAGTCCCCACCTGAGCGCTAGCTCTTAGAACAATGCTAAAACGTAACAATAGATTAACTTTTAGATAGCCAATTTTCAGTTTTTGATCAACATGACCCCCCGCCCCCACCAAACAAAGAATAAGAAGGCTACACGACCATTTAAGTATAAAAGAACAAATGTAGTATTTTACCATTCAAGATACTTCAGCTAGAAAGTTATACTCCAATGTTGTCATCATTTTATCTTCTCAAATGACTTTCACAGAACCAATGATCCTAGGTACAAATAGTTCAACCAAATGCCCAACAAAGATAAAGTAAAACAAAGATAAACTAAAACTGGTCATAAAATTGGAGAAGATGCTTGAGTCGCTTACTGTAATTTCATGTTATGTGATGCCTAAAAGGTAGGAGAATGACAGAGATTATCGAACCACATAGGGCTAGCTCCCCAATGAAAGTCTTAAAGTGCAGACCAAACAAATCAACTGTTTTTGGATGGAAGGGTGAATCTCTCTACAAGCCTGAGTTTACTGAAAAATAAAATTTAAACATAAAATGGAAAAAAGAAAGTTGAAAAATAAAAAATAAAAAAATGATACGACCATTTGATCACTTGTACTATACAATCAGGATCGAGTGTGACAAGGAAAGAACAAAGTCAAGACTAAGTGTCACCTCCTTCAATTTATCAAAACATCTGTGTCAACCGCTGTAGGGAATTTCTCATAGATGCATTTTTTAGCAGCATCTTCCCAGGCCTGAAGGATCTCAACAGTCAACAAGTCCATTAGAATAGGCTAAGAAGTTGTTCTGTTCGTCTTAATCTTATTACTTATTGCTTATTCTTATTTTATTCAGATCAGAAAAATTCAGATCAGATCAGAAAAGTTCAGACATGATTTATCCCTTTTATTATAATAATAATTATAATAATATTAATAATAATTATTATTATTATTATTATTATTCTTGTTGTTGTTATTGTAGTTATTATAATTAATATTATTATTGATATTATTATTATTATTATTATTATTATTATTACTATGATGATTATTATTATTATGATATTTATTATTATCATTATTATTATTATTACTATTATTATGGTTGTTGTTATTGTTATTAGTTTTGTTTTTATTATTACGGAGCCACTTCGCGCACCTCAAAAGTGCTGGGCGCACCGATTTTACTTCGTGTCTGGACAAATTTGCCCCACTCCGCATTTTAGTCGTGAGTCACTTTCCGTATCTTTCATCAATTTAAATACTCTAAAAGATAAGTTTTCACATTTCCTTAATTTTGTAATTTTATTTCTAAAAAACAACTATCACTTAATAACGGCCTAACAAAATTTTACAATCATTAAATATAATGAAGGATGAATCTATAGATTATTTGAAAAATAGCCCTGTTCACTTTCACACTTACAAATTATTTATTTATCTTAATTTTTTTAACCATTTATTTATCTTAATTCTTAATTGATTTTTTTTTTCATTTTTGGTCCCCGACTATTGTTTCAATTACACTTTCGGTACTCGAATTTTAATTTTTTCATTTTTAGTCTTCGACTTTTGTGCTAGAGACACTTTTAGTCTTCAACTTAAAAGTTTCTCTCATCTAGTCACTTGAGTATTATCAAATTGGCACTTTTAGTCATTCCATTATGATTTTGACACAATAAATAGAGGATTAAAAATGTCACTAATATAATATCTGAACGACAAAAAATGACACTTTTATGAAAGTCAAATGACTAAATATGAAAATTTTCAAAGGCGGATACAAAAAGTATCTCTAACATAAGTTACGGGATGAAAATTGCAAATTTCTATGTTGATCCAGATTAAAGTCATATATTTGTATTTATGGACATACATGTGAAGTTGTAAATGACATTTAGAATGTTTTTAATTGCAGAGATTTTGATCTTAGATCAAACCATATTTAAACAAATCAAATCAGGTCTGATTAGAGTAATTAAATCAGATCAGGCCAAATTTCATCAAAATTAAACAATATTAAAATACACATTCACTGTCCATTAATTAAACTTAAACTCACCTGATCAAAATAATTTTATTTTTAGAATTTTTATAGATGTATATTGATGGCATATGAAAGATGATAAAGAATTATTTAATTTGAAATATTTTCTGGAAAAAATGGAACACAAATAAAAAAAAAGTTATAATGTTTTACCAAAATAATACTGTAGTAATTATTTGAAACTATTAGATGGAGAATAAATTTTAAAATTGATTAGAATGGATAGTGTATTGGCGGAATACTCCATTACTAATTTTAATTTCAATTAAAGAAAGGACAAATGAGTCTTATTAGAGTTACATCAAGTAAAAACAGTGGTGCGCCTAGCAACGCCCGCCCTATTATTATCATATTATACGGAGTAATTAAAATTAAAATTATAGAAATAAATATTATAATTATAAATAAAATTATAATTATAGAAATAAATATAACTATAAATATAATTAAAATTATAATTATAGCTATATTTATAACTAATGTAATACATATAATAATAATAATTATACCTATTATAATTATGTTTGTAATTATAATTATAATTTTTATAATTATGATTATAATTATAATTATATTTAAATTATATATGTGTAATTACATTTATAATTATAGTAATTATAATTATAATTATAATTATAATTTTAGAAATATTAAAATCAGATCAGATCAGAAAGATTCAAATCAGATCAGAAGGATTCAGATCAGAAACATTCAGATCAGATCAGGAACATTCAGATCAGATCAGAAAGATTCAGATCAGATCAGAAAGATTCAGATCAGAAAAATTCAGATCAGATCAGATCAGAACTTAAAAAATTTATATCAGAAACATTCAGATCGGGTGAAGAGAACAGCTTCTAAAGCTGCAGCTACAGCAGCAAAAAAACAGTTCTAAAACTAGGACAACAGTTCTAAAACTAGGACAACAATACTCAAATATATACCTTAACTGAAGACAGCATGTATACCAACTTTTAACTTTCTTTTGCAGAGATAGGTGAATGAAGTATCTTAGATTGCACACACTCCAAATCAACTACCTGAAATGGAAATTAACAGATGGAGTTGAAATCCTATTAATCTTATTCTTCAAATGAAACAGAAGAATAAGAAGTAAAAATGACAATTGTGGTGGGAGAGGATAACAACACTCATTAAAGAAAAGAAAAAAGAATAGAAACTATATAGGTTAGAGACATTACACAATGAAATGATGAATGGGAGACTGTTCACATCAATAAATAAAAAGAGCATACAGGAGAATTATTGCTTATAATGAGAAATTTGAGTCAATAAGAAACAGGGTGAAATTATCTCAAGATTACTTGGTGAGTGCTTACTTAGCTGACATGAGAAATGATACACAGATGCATATAAGAATTTTTCAACCCCAATCTGTTCAACAATGTTCACTTTGGGAAAATTGTATGAATTTGCTCATCCACAAATTCACAAATTCTGTCAGTTTGAGTTCAAGCTATAATAAAGGAAATTTGATCAGAAATGAGGAAGTGGGTAGAAAAACTTCATTTAACAATCTATCTAAAGCTGGAGGTGTACATAAAGGAGAAAAATACAGAAGTCAGGAGAATGGGAAAAAGGGAATAGAAAAGTTCTCACTGCAACAGAAATGAGTGAAAGAAGGGCTAAAGGTCTATGCTATCAGTGTGATGAACCTTATACACTTGACCATTACCTAAAGCATAAGAAGAATCAGTTGTATCTTGTGGAGGTGGAGGAGGATGAAGAAGATATGAGTCCAGAAGAAGAAGAAATATTGACACAAGAAAACATACAAATTTCTGTCAAAGCTATGGCAGGAGTATCACATTATAGCATCGTGAGAGTAAAGGGAATGCATGGTAAAAGAGTACTCTTCATCCTAATAGACTCTGGCAGTACACACAATTTCATAGATAAAAAGATAGCTAAAAAGCTAGGCTGCAAATCGATAAACAATGGGTTGGCAAGAGTCACTGTAGCAGATGGCAATACCATAGATGTGGCAGCCAGAGTGGAAGGGTTTCAGTGGACATTCCAGCAAACTCAATTCACAACTGATCTTATGGTGATCTCATTGGGAAGTTGTGACCTAGGTAGCACGGAAACTCTCGGGAAAGAGTACGTTTCCCGTTTCGGAAACTCTCGGAAACTCTCCAAATAAGCCTTTTGTTGAAATATAAACTAGAATAATATTGAAGAGTGGAGGAAAGATTTTCAGTATGTTTCATTGAAGGGTAAGGCCCTATAAATATAGATTACAAAGATAGAATATTCCTATAAAAGATGCTATACAATAATACTATATATGGTATATTCCTAATATATTCTAAAGCATATTCTAAAGTATATTCTAATATACTTTCACACTCCCCCTCAAGTTGGAGCATAGATATTTATCATGCCCAACTTGTTACATAAATAACCAACTCGAATTCCATTTAGTGCTTTAGTGAACAAATCTCCAAGTTGTTCCCCAGTCTTCACATATCCTGTAGAGATTAATCCTTTTTGTATCTTCTCTCGAATAAAATGACAATCAACCTCAATATGCTTTGTTCTCTCATGAAATACAGGATTGTTTGCTATGTGTATAGCAGCTTGGTTATCACACCACAATTTAGCAGGCATTGATGTCTTCAGTCCGAGCTCGGTCAATAAATGGCTTATCCATATGATCTCACATGCAGCTTGTGCCATAGCTCGATATTCTGATTCGGCACTCGAACGAGAAACCACATTCTGCTTCTTACTCTTCCAAGATACAAGATTACCACCAACAAAGACACAATAACCAGATGTAGATCTTCGATCATCTTTAGAACCGGCCCAATCTGCATCTGCAAAACATTCTATTCTCATGTGATCATGGTTTTGATAAACAATACCTCGTCCTGGTGCACCCTTTAAGTAACATAATATGTGTTCTACTGCAGCCCAATGATCCATGGTTGGAGATGACATGTATTGACTCACTACACTCACAGAATAGGCAATATCTGGACGAGTGACTGCGAGATAATTAAGCTTTCCAACCAGTCTTCTATATCTTTCTGGGTCTTCAAACGGTGTGCCTTCTTGAGTGAGTTGCACGTTGGGAACCATGGGTGTTGTACTTGGTTTTGCCCCTAATTTCCCTGTCTCAGCTAGTAAGTCAAGTACATATTTACGTTGAGATAGAAATATGTCTTTCTTACTTCGTGTTACCTCAATTCCCAGAAAGTATTTCAAAGAGCCAAGATCTTTCGTCTGGAATTGACTATGCAGAAAATTCTTAAGGGCCAAAATACCTGCATTATCACTCCCTGTAATCACAATATCATCAACATACACCACAAGCAATGTGACACCTGATTCTGTTTGTTTGTAAAAGACAGAGTGATCTGATTTGCCTTTTATCATTCCAAATTGTTCAATTGATTGACTGAATTTTCCAAACCATGCACGAGGACTCTGTTTCAGACCATAAAGAGATTTGCGAAGTCGACAAACTTTACCATACTCCCCCTGAGCAACAAATCCCGGAGGTTGCTCAATATAGACTTCTTCCTTAAGGTCACCATGCAAAAATGCATTTTTAATGTCCAACTGATGTAAGTGCCAATCATGAGTTGCGGCGAGTGAAATAAGTAACCTGACAGATGTTAATTTAGCAACAGGAGAAAAAGTGTCAGAATAATCAACACCATAGGTTTGAGCATAACCCTTTGCAACTAATCGGGCTTTCAACCGAGCAACAGATCCGTCTGGGTTAACCTTAACAGCAAAGACCCACTTACATCCAATAGATTTCTTCCCTGTAGGCAAGTCAACCAAATCCCAAGTACCATTAAGATCTAAAGCATTCATTTCCTCTACCATGGCATGACGCCATTCAGGATGAGACAAAGCTTCTTTGACAGATTTGGGAACAGAAATAGAATCAATGGAAGCAATAAAAGAACATGAAGCACGAGATAACTGATTGTACGACACAAATGAAGAAATAGGATGAGTACAAGACCGTGTACCTTTACGTAGTGCTATTGGGAGGTCAAGATCTGATGTGGAGACAAGATCTGAAGATGCAGGTACTGGTTCAGGACATGAGATCGGAGTCGAACTAGTATCAGGATAAGTAATCACAGGTATCGCCGGTGGAGGGTGATCAGGTGCTTTGTGTCGACGGGTGTATACCAAATGTACGGGAGGCCTAAGGTCAGGAACAGTAACTTGTGGAATATTTGTCGAAAGTGTGGACTCAGGAATAGTCATCGTGTAAATGAGTATATCATCATTACTCTCATGAATATCTGCCTTAGATGATGAAAAAGGTGTATTTTCATGAAATGATGCATCAATAGAAACAAGATACCGACCAATACTCGGACAAAAACATCTATACCCCTTTTGGACTCGAGAATAACCCAAGAAAATACATTTTAATGATTTGGGATCTAACTTTGTAAGATGAGGATTAACATCTCTAACAAAACAAGTGCAACCAAATATTTTAGGTGGGATAGGAAAAAGCTCTTTGTTTGGAAATAGACAATGATAAGGAGCTTTACCATTCAAAACAGAAGATGGCATTCGATTTATCAAAAAACATGCAGTAGACACGGCATCTGCCCAAAACTGTTTCGGCACATTCATTTGGAATAGAAGAGCTCTTGCAGTTTCTAACAGATGTCGGTTCTTTCGTTCTGCAACTCCATTTTGAGGTGTGTCAACGCATGACGTTTGATGAATAATGCCATGTTGAAGCATAAATGACTTAAATGTAGCAGATAGATATTCTTGGGCATTGTCTCCTCTTAACACCCGAACAGGAACGTTGAACTGAGTTTTAATTTCAGCATAAAAGGAAGAAAAATGAGTGAACAACTCAGATCGACGTTTCATGAAATACAACCATGTCATACGAGAATAGTCATCAACAAAGGTAACAAAATATTTAAAACCAGCTTTAGACACAACTGGACAAGCACCCCAAACATCAGAGTGAACAAGGTCAAATGGAGCATTTGCTCGTTTATTAACTCGCGGGCTTAAGCTAGTACGATGGTGTTTCGCAAATTGACATGACTCACATTGTAAAGAGGTCATCTTATTAAATTGGGGATTTATTTGCTTCATTAATGGGAGAGATGGATGTCCTAATCGGTAATGAGCATCTAACAAAGTCCCAACCCCAAGACAAGAGATACCTTTTGTGATGGATGTATCCAAAATATAAAGACCAGCTGACTCATGTCCTTTACCAATAATCTGCTTCGTTAACAGATCCTGAAACACACAATATCCAGGAAAAAATGTTACAGAACAATTAAGAGTACGAGTGATCTTACTGATGGAAAGCAGATTAAATGCAAAATTAGGAAGACTCAAAACAGGCGATAATGGTAATGTAGAAGTTGGAACAACAGTACCAGATCCAAGAATGGGTGAGGTAGATCCATCAGCTAAAGTGACACTAGAAGTAGGTAAATATGAATGAAATGACGAGAATAGACTAGGATTACCGGTCATATGATCTGTGGCACCTGAGTCAATGACCCATTTCGAGGATGATGAAACAAGACATGTGTTTGAAATACCTGAATTTGCGGCTACCGAGATAGGGACAAATGAATGCTTTAGAGATTCTTGGTAGCAAATAAATTTGGCATACTCATTTGAAGAAATAGCAACTGATCCATCAGATGAACTGGTAGCGGAAGCGACACGAGCAAGCTGATTTCCTTGATTTTTGAATAGCAATTTTCTACATTCTTTGATCAAGTGTCCGGGCTTCTTGCAGTAATTGCATATTACTGCTCTGTCAAACTTACCCGTACAATACATAATTTACTTTTTTTTTCTTTTTTCTTTTTTTCTTTTTTTTTTTAATATATATACATATGAAATATATATATATATATATATATATATATATTATGAGGCAGCAAAGAATTTGGGATATTAGGTATAAAAAAAAAACTTACAGAAGCTTTTTTCGGTTTGTGGACTAAAAGATTTAAATGCTTCTGGACTTCGAATATAACTAATAAACTCACAGCAGCTTTCCCGTTATGGACTCAAAATTAGGAGAACAAAATATCTTATCTTTGGCTTTGGCGTTGACTGCTTCGGACTCCAAACAGAATAAAAGAAGATGCGCTAGAGCATATGCTAGAGATCCGATGCTAGACCCCAGCACGCAAGAATCAGTGAAGAGCGGATGTCCGATGCCAAACCCCAGCGACCAACCACAAGATTTCCTCCCACAGATATCCGTTCCTTTGCTGGAGAAGTAAACGATACCTGATGGTAGCGGATTCTCAGGCGAGTCTGTGGCAAAAATCCCGGTCGAATCTCCGGCCAGAGGGAAGGTGTGTCACTCGCCGGCAGCTGCGATTACTTCCAGAGGACTGTGGCTGTAGGGCGTCAATTTGGAGCTGCGTAATTTCAATGCCTGGTCGGGGACGGCAGGAATGGTGCTATCCGAAATTCGCCGGAAAAAAAAAATGGTCGGACCTGGCAGAGGTTCTGAATTTGAACTAAGGTTCTGAATAGAGGTTCTGGATAATGGCGATGATGTGTAGAGAGGTTCTGTCTGGGTTGAGTTTCTCGTAGACAGAATGGTGCACAGAGGTTCTGAACTGAACTCAAGTTCTTTGAGAAAGAACTGAGTCTGAAAAACAAAATTGAAATCTGAAAAAAAAACTAAACTGAAATGGAAGTCTCTGATACCATGTTGAAATATAAACTAGAATAATATTGAAGAGTGGAGGAAAGATTTTCAGTATGTTTCATTGAAGGGTAAGGCCCTATAAATATAGATTACAAAGATAGAATATTCCTATAAAAGATGCTATACAATAATACTATATATGGTATATTCCTAATATATTCTAAAGCATATTCTAAAGTATATTCTAATATACTTTCACACCTTTTTTGAGCAAAAGTTGACGTTTCCCGTTTCCCGTTTCCTCATGATTTTCGCGTTTCCGTGCAACTTAGGTTGTGACATGGTTTTGGGAGTTCAATGGCTAGAGAACTTGGGAAAAATTTCTTGGACTTTAAAAAGCTAACAATGGCATTTAAGGTGCCCAACAAGAAATTAGCATTACAAGCAATTAAGCAAGGGTCTGTGAGGGAGATCAAAGCCAAAGAAATGAATAAAGTTTTAAACTAGGAAGGGGCAACAACAACCACAGATTGTTTTTTAACAGCCATGGAAGTTCACAATGAAATTTCAGAGGGTATTTCTCACTTACTGACTCAGTTTGAATATATCTTTCAGGAACCTAAAGAATTACCTCCATTCAGAAAAGGACATGAATACATGATCATAAGATTCCCTTGATACAATGTGCCAACCCTGTCAACCAAAAACCTTACAGATATGCCATTTGTCAGAAAAATGTAATTGACAAAATAGTGGAAGAAATGCTGAACTCAGGGATCATTCAACCAAGCTCCAGTTCATATTCCTCTCCTGTGGTATTAGTTAAGAAGAAAGATGATTCTTGGAGATTATGTGTGGATTATAGGAAGCTAAATGCTAATACTATCCAAGACAGATTCCCTATACCTCTTATTGAAGATCTAATGAATGAACTGGGAGGATCCAAAGTATTTTCAAAGATAGATCTCAGATCCTGATATCATCAAGTAAGAATGAGCAAAGAGAATGTACATAAGACATCTTTCAAAACACACAATGGACATTATGAATTTGTTGTAATGCCTTTTGGTCTAACAAATGCACCTGGAACATTTCAATACCTAATGAACTCAGTCTTAAGGGCTTTCTTGAGGAAGTTTGTACTAATTTTCTTTGATGACATCCTAGTTTACAGTGCTTCAGTGGAGGATCATGTAATCCATCTGAGATTAGTATTTGAAGCTATGAGAACTAACAAACTGTGTGCTAAGAGAAGTAAAATGTGCTTTTGCTATCAATAAAGTGGAGTATTTGAGGCATTATATTTCTGATAAAGGCATATCTACTGATCCAAAGAAGGTTGAAGCTGTAACTAATTGGCCTGTTCCTAAAACAATAAAACAACTCAGGGGCTTTTTGGGTTTATCAGGATATTGCAGGAGGTTTGTGAGGAATTATGGTGTGATTGCTAGACCATTATGTTCTCTCCTTAAGAAAGACAATTTTAAATGGTCTGAAGAAGCAACCTTGGCCTTCCAAAACCTGAAATTTGCATTATGTCAAGCACTGCCTAATTTTGAAAAGCAATTTGTGGTAGAGACTGATGCTTGTGGATATGGTATATGTGCTGTTTTAATGCAAGAGAATCATCCATTGGCCTACATCAGCAAACACTTGAAGGGTACAACAGCTGCATTTTTCTATCTATGAAAAAGAACTTCTGGCTGTCGTTTTTGCTGTACAACAATGGAGGCATTATCTACTCTATGCTCATTTTATTATTAAGACTGACCAGAAGAGTCTTTACTAGAGCAAAGGCTGAATACCCCTATACAACAACAATGGCTTCCTAAATTGCTGGAATTTTCCTATGATATTCAGTATAAACAAGCCAAAGGAAATTTAGCAGCAGATGCATTGTCCAGAATAGAAAGTGCAGATATTTTGAGTATGGCCTTCACAGTGGTGGGATTAGATCTATTACAATCTATTCAACAATGCTACCATACTGATCCTCAACTTCAACAAGTCATTGAAGTACTTAAAACAAATCCTACAGGGAAGAAGCACTACACTTGGTTACATAATCAGCTTAGGAGGAAAGGAAAGCTGGTTATAGGTAATGAGGTAGCATTGAAGGGCGAAATACTGAAGTGGCTTTACTGTGCAGGCACCAGTGGTCATTCAGGAAGGGATGCTACAATTCAAAGAGTTAAGGCATAGTTTTATTGAAAGGGAATGGCTAATGATATTCAGCAATTTATTAAAAGCTGTAATATTTGCCCGCAAAACAAATATGACAGATCAGCCTCACCAGGACTCTTACAGCCACTACCAATCCCTGACAGTGTATGGAGTGAGATAACCATGGATTTCACTGAAGGATTACCTCCTTCTTATGGAAAAGCTGTTATTTTTGTAGTAGTAGACAGTTGAGTAAGGCTGCCCACTCAATGCTTCTAAGATCATGTTTTCAAGCTACATGAGTGTGAAAGACATTAGAATATACTTTAGAATATACTTTAGAATATTCTTCTATCCTTAGAATATACTTTAGAATATTTTAGGAATATACTCTAGGATATTATTATTGTATAGAATCTTATAGGAATATTCTATCTTTGTAATCTATATTTATAGGGACTTAACCCTCCAATGAAATACACAGAAAATCTTTCCTCCTCTCTTCATTATTATATTTTGTAGTTTATATTTCAACATGGTATCAGAGCAGCCATTTTAGATAAGTTTGCCTTTTCAAATTTCAGTTTAGTCTTTCATATCTCAGTTTAGTTTTAATTTTCAGACTGGGTTCTTTCTCCAAGAACCTGAGTTCAGTCCAGAATTTTAGAACCTCTAGGCACCACTCTGTCTTACAGAACCTCCTTGTCAGAAACCAACACTCCAGAATCTTCAGAACCTTTTTTTTCAGAACCTTAGTCCATCTCTGTCAGGTCCAACCATCTTCCCTGGCCGGGAATTTGATCGGAAGAATTAGCTAAAAGGGAAGGAAGAATATATTAATTTTTCAGAATCAGTTCATTCTTTCCAGCAAACGAGCATGAAAATACATCTTCGGGCAATATAGAATCTTACCCTCTGCTCCTTCACCAGTTCGTCCAGCCTCTGCCCAAAATTTCTGAAATAACAAAGGACGGATATCTGTGGGAGGAAGACCGGTGGTTGGTCGCTGGGAACATCATCTGTGGATATCCGCTCCTTCGTCTTGTTCGCATATTTACTGGGGCCTCGCATCGGATATTTTCGGTCGCGCATCCGCCTTTCACTGATTGGTCACGCATTGTACTAGCTTGGATTTAAGTTTGGAGTGCCCAAGCTGCGTATTTTATTATTCTCCCAAGTCCACACATGGGAAAGCTGCTGTAAGTTCACTTTTTTTTCTTCCTCCCGAATATACCATTTTTTATACTAATAAAAAAAAATCAAAAAAAAATCAAAAAAAAAAAAAACCAAAAAAAAAAGGAAAGGAAATGTTTTATACAGGTCAATTTGATAGTGGAGTAATATGCAATTACTGCAAGAAGTCCGGGCACCTGCTTAAAGAATGTAGAAAATTGTTGTTCAAAAATCAAGGAAATCGGCTTCCTCATGTTGTTTCCGCTGCCAGTTCATCTGATGGATCAATTGCTATTTCTTCAGACGAGTATGCTAAATTTATTTGCTACCAAGAATCTCTAAAGCATTCATCTACCCCTATCTCGGTAGTCGCAAATTCAGGTATTTCAAACACATGTCTTGTTTCATCATCCTCAAAATGGGTCATTGACTCAGGTGCCACAGATCATATGACTGGTAATCCTAGTCTATTCTCATCATTTCACTCACATTTACCTGCTTCCAGTGTCACTTTAGCAGACGGGTCTACCTCACCCGTTCTTGGATCTGGTACTGTTGTACCAACTTCTACATTACCATTATCGTCTGTTTTGAGTCTTCCTAATTTTGCATTTAATCTGCTTTCCATCAGTAAAATCACACGTACTCTTAATTGTTCTGTAACATTTTTTCCGGGATATTGTGTGTTTCAGGATCTGTTAACGAAGCATACTATTGGTCAAGGACATGAGTCGGGTGGTCTTTATATTTTGGATACATCAATTACAAAAGGTATCTCTTGCCTTGGGGTTGGAAATCTATTAGAAGCTCATTACCGATTAGGACATCCATCTCTCTCACTAATGAAGCAATTATATCCTCAGTTTAATAAAGTGTCTTCTATACAATGTGAGTCGTGTGAGTTTGCTAAACATCATCGCACTAGTTTAAGTCCCCGACTTAATAAACGAGCAAATGCTCCGTTTGATCTTGTCCATACTGATGTTTGGGGGGCATGTCCAGTTGTGTCCAAACCTGGTTTCAAATATTTTGTCACTTTTGTTGACGATTATTCTCGTATGACATGGGTGTATTTTATGAAGCGCCGATCCGAGTTATTTACTCATTTCTCTGCATTTTGTGCTGAAATTAAAACTCAATTTAATGTTCCTGTTCGTGTGTTAAGGGGAGACAATGCCCAAGAATATTTATCTGCTCCATTTAAATCTTTTATGCTTCAACATGGCATTATTCATCAAACTTCATGCGTAGACACACCTCCTCAAAATGGAGTTGCTGAAAGAAAGAATCGACATCTGTTAGAAACTGCAAGGGCTCTTCTATTCCAAATGAATGTGCCTAAACAGTTTTGGGCTGACGCTGTGTCTACTTCATGTTTTTTGATCAATCGTATGCCATCTTCTGTTTTGGATGGTAAAACTCCTTATCAATGTCTTTTTCCAAATAAAGAACTTTTTCCTATTCCACCTAAAATATTTGGTTGCACTTGTTTTGTTAGAGATGTTAACCCTCATCGGACGAAATTGGACCCCAAGTCATTGAAATGTATTTTCTTGGGTTATTCTCGAGTTCAAAAGGGGTATAGATGTTTTTGTCCAAGTACAGGTCGATATCTTATTTCTATTGATGTCTCATTTCATGAAAATACACCATTTTCATCATCCAAGACAGATATTCATGAGGACAATGATGAAATACTCATTTACACAGTTACTATACCTGAGACCACACTTTCAGTAACTATGTCGAATGTCACTGTTCCTGACCCTAGACCTCCTGTACACTTGGTTTACACCCGTCGACACAAAGCACAAGATCACTCCCCACCTGTGACACCTGTGATTACATATCCTGATACTGGTCCGACTTCGATCTCATGTCCTGAACCAGTACCTGCATCTTCAGATCTTGTCTCTACATCTGATCTTGACCTCCCGATAGCACTACGTAAAGGTACACGGTCTTGTACTCATCCTATTTCCTCATTTGTGTCATACAGTCAGTTATCTCCTGCCTCATGTTCTTTTGTTGCTTCCATTGATTCTATTTATGTTCCCAAATCTGTTAAAGAAGCTTTGTCTCATCCTGAATGGCGTCATGCCATGGTAGAGGAAATGAATGCTTTGGATCTTAATGATACTTGGGATTTGGTATACTTGCCTTCAGGGAAGAAGTCTATTGGATGTAAGTGGGTCTTTGCTGTTAAGGTTAATCCAGATGGATCTGTTGCTCGATTGAAAGCTCGATTGGTTGCAAAGGGTTATGCTCAAACTTATGGTGTTGATTATTCTGACACTTTTTCTCCTGTTGCTAAATTAACATCTGTCAGGTTACTTATCTCACTCGCTGCAACTCATGATTGGCACTTACACCAGTTGTACATTAAAAATGCATTCTTACATGGTGACCTTCAGGAGGAAGTTTATATGGAGCAACCTCCGGGATTTGTTGCTCAGGGGGAGTATGGGAAAGTTTGTCGACTTCGCAAATCTCTTTATGGTCTGAAACAGAGTCCTCGTGCATGGTTTGGGAAATTCAGTCAATCCATTGAACGGTTTGGAATGATAAAAGGTCAATCAGATCACTCTGTCTTTTACAGAAAAACGAAAGCAGGTATCACATTGCTTGTGGTGTATGTCGATGATATTGTGATTACAGGAAGTGATACCGCAGGTATTTTGGCCCTTAAGAATTTTCTTCATAGCCAATTCCAAACAAAAGACCTAGGCTCATTGAAATACTTTCTGGGTATTGAGGTAACACGGAGTAAGAAAGGCATATTTCTATCTCAGCGTAAATATGTACTTGATTTACTAACTGAAACAGGGAAATTGGGAGCAAAGCCAAACACAACTCCCATGGTTCCCAATGTGCAACTCACTTCAGAAGGCATACCATTCGAAGACCCAGAAAGGTACAGAAGATTGGTTGGAAAGCTTAACTATCTCGCAGTCACTCGTCCAGACATTGCTTACTCTGTGAGCGTAGTGAGTCAATATATGTCATCTCCGACAGTTGATCATTGGAATGCAGTAGAGCATATATTATGTTACTTGAAGGGGACACCAGGACGAGGTATTGTTTACCAAAATCATGATCACATGAGAATAGAATGCTTTGCAGATGCTGATTGGGCTGGATCTAAAGATGATAGGAGATCCACATCTGGCTATTGCGTCTTTGTTGGTGGTAATCTCGTCTCTTGGAAAAGTAAGAAGCAAAATGTGGTTTCTCGTTCGAGTGCTGAATCAGAATATCGGGCTATGGCACAATCGGCATGTGAGATAATCTGGATAAACCATTTGCTGAGTGAAATCGGATTGAAGACACTAATGCCTGCTAAACTCTGGTGTGATAACCAAGCTGCTATACACATTGCCAACAACCCAGTGTTTCATGAGAGAACAAAACATATTGAGGTCGATTGTCACTTTGTTCGAGAAAAGATACAACAAGGATTGATCTCTACAGGATACGTGAAGACTGGAGAGCAACTTGGAGATTTGTTCACTAAAGCATTAAATGGAATTCGTGTTGGTTATTTATGTAACAAGTTGGGCATGATAAATATCTATGCTCCAACTTGAGGGGGAGTGTGAAAGACATTAGAATATACTTTAGAATATACTTTAAAATATTCTTCTATCCTTAGAATATACTTTAGAATATTTTAGGAATATACTCTAGGATATTATTATTGTATAGAATCTTATAGGAATATTCTATCTTTGTAATCTATATTTATAGGGACTTAACCCTCCAATGAAATACACAGAAAATCTTTCCTCCTCTCTTCAATATTATATTTTGTAGTTTATATTTCAACAATGAGTTTCCACAATCAATTACAAGTGATCGAGATGCAGTGTTCATGAGTAAATTCTGGAAAGAACTTTTCACATTACAAAGTGTTTCTTTGAATACTTCAACGGCTTATCATCCTCAAACGGATGATCAATCTGATGTTGTTAATAGGTGCTTAGAGACCTATTTAAGGTGCATGTGCAGTGATCAGCCTCATCAATGGAGTAGGTGGCTACAACTGACAGAATGGTAGTACAATACCACCTACCACACCTCCACTCAGCTCACTCTTTATGAAGTAGTATATGGGCAAGCTTCACCTATGCATCTACCTTACTTACCAGGTGAAGCTAAGGTTGACATGGTTGCAAGAAGCCTCCAAGCCAGAGAAGATATGATTCAAATTCTGAAATTTCACTTGGCTAAAGCACAACAAAGGATGGAACATTATGCTAATTTGCATAGGACAAGGTTCTTCCACCAAGAACCTTGATTATATTTGAATATTTGATATTACTCCCTCCGTATTAGTTTATTTGTCCTATTTCCTTTTTGATGTAGTTTAAGATGATTACTCTAGACTTTATAAAAAGTAAGATGGTTTTGGTACTGTAGTTGCATTTTGGGTGAGTTTATTTCTAAAAAGGGAATTGGAACAAATAATTTGATATATCCCAGAAAGAAAACTGAGAAAATAAACCGATATAGAGCTGAGGGAGTATATGTTATGCATAGTGTATATAATGTTTAAATTGTAATTTTGGAGTTTGCCAAAATATTGATAAGAAATATAATAAAAGATAAAGAGGATTTGATGAGTTTGTGTTTAACACCGGTTTGGTAACACTCAAATTGATTGAATCTGTTGAATTTGCCAAAATTTATGAGTTTCTGGCAGAAGAAGAGGCTGAATTGAGTGATTTGGTTAAATTATAGTATCTAAAATATAGCTTACTAATATAGCTTACTAATAAATTACGAAAAAATTACATGAAAATATCTAAAACTATCTTCTAGAGTAATTTCAACCAATTCGGCTAGAAAATTAACTTAAAAAATTATGTGTTTGGTTAAATAAGTTGTCTTTTAAGCTTAAAATATGGGTATTAAGTTTAATTCAAAATAGAAATAAGTTTATGGGCAAAGCTAATATTGTGAATGCTTATATATAATTGTGAATGCTTAAACTGGTTGAATTATTGTTGTGAACATTTCTAGTATGGATTATTTATGTAAATTCATAAAAGTATGATTATTTATGTCAACATTATAATAATGTTTAAATTGTAATTTTGAAGTTGGTAAAAATATTTATAAGAAATAAAAGATACGTAGTAACATTGAATTTGATGAGTTTGTATTTTAGCGCCCGTTGAGTGACACTCAAATTGACTGAATCGGCTGAATTTGCGATTATGAGTTTCTGACAGAAGTTTCTGAATCGACTGAATCACTTGAATTATAATTTTTTTTATTCAAAATACTATAGGATATCGTATTAATGAAATTTATGAAGTACATGAAATTCATGTCAATACGTGAGCTGAGAGGCTTACATATGTACAGCCGGTCCCTACTTTGGCATGTTCATGTCACGTATATTTCCTTCCGTTTTGTTGTTTTGACCTAAATTTATTTTCGTTTTGGTTATGTGATTATGTCACTTCACATACCATTGTCGTATAACACAAAATATACGTACGGGTGACTAAACAAAAAGATGAAAACGTTGGCGGAAAAACATGGAAAATCGATGGCAAACCTGAAACATAGTCAACTGAACTCCATATGTACAACAAATTGATAGCAACCTTTTGTTGTACTCCCAACGTATGTGAACTAGAAGACAAGGACTAGTCCTTTCTAGTACTACCGTATGTAAAGTATCAGCTTTTTCATTGTTTAGATTTGGGCAATACCTATTTTTTTGTAATACTTTGTACAATCTCTAGCTAGTCTATGTTTTATTTCACTTTCCCCAAATATGTGCCTCATCTTCAAACGTTGCTACTCCCTACATAGTACGAAGTATTATTTGTGAATTTTGTTATGGCCGGTCTTAAAGAGGGACAATTGTTAATGTCCTACAAAACTATATAAGCAATATTTCTCTGTATATAAAAGATGTCTACAATAGTGTTGGACACATTATTTAAGATCAAATAATAAGAGTAATGGATAGTGTATAATAAGTGATTGAGATGGCTGAAAAGTATATAGAAAATAAATAGTAAAAATATATTTAGGTAATTGAGTGTTTTTAAATGAAAAACTTTTTAAAAATACAAAAGTGTAGCTTTTTCAAACTTTTAAATAATTCAAAATAGGAAAGCTTAGGAAACTACTACGGAGAAAGTATTTTTTTTCACTTTTCATACGTTTATCATACAAAAGTGATTATATTTAACTTAAAAACAATGTCGTATGTATATAAATATAATTTAGATCAAATGAGAATGTGATCTTATAAGGAGATGATATATAAATATGTAGTACTACTAAGTAGATTTGAATCAGTTTCTACTATACGAGGTTTATAAATTACAATTTATCTAGCAAGCTACCATATATGAGCATCTTCTAGCTAAGAGCCTAAGACAAGCTCGTATGAAAGTTTAATTTGCATTCTACTATTATTTTACATATAATAAAACACTTTTTAAGTACATGCAACAATTGTTTATAACTACACTTCAAATATAGTTCCAAAAAAACTAAACTGGCCTCAAATTCAAATTCAAATTTTGTGTTTCATTTTAATTATGTAATAAAAATGTATGAATTTCTATATGGGTGTAATATTTATTGAAAGGGAAGATCGCACATTAAGTCCCTCAAATAGTCACCATATTGAAATGTCAGACCCGTGTTAGTGTGTGTATACTAATAAGAGATTTTAAATGGATCGGAATCATATGTACCATACCCGACCTGTTTATTAAAAATGTAGGAAAAAATGTAGACCCATACCCGTTAGAATCAACAAGGTTCGGGTGAGGTCCGGGTCTACACCCGACCCATTGATAGGCCTATCACCATTTTACACCTTTTGGAATCACCATTCTTACACTTATTTGTAAAAATCCCCAAAATAACTACACCATAGCATACAAAAGTCTCAAAGAATATTGTACAACTCTTAGTCAATGTAACCAACCTGATGCAAATTAGGAGGGACATTTTTTAGTAATAGTAACAGGTCGAGATTCGGGTAAACGGAATAAAATGTAGACCCATACCCGTTAGAATCAACCAAGTTCGGGTGAGGTCCGGGTCTACACCCAACCCATTGATAGGCCTATCACCATTTTACACCTTTTGGAATCACCATTCTTACACTTATTTGTAAAAATCCACAAAATAACTACACTCTAGCATACATAAGTCTCAAAGAATATTGTACAACTCTTAGTAAACGTAACCAACCAGGGACAAGTCCTGATGCAAATTAGGAGCGACATTTTTTGAGTAATACGTACCGGGTGTCATAGCTAGCCTATATTTTTTCCCAATTTAAAAACACTAGCTTAGGAACGTAGACTGGTATTTAATCTGTTTCACTCATGTTAGGTGTCACTCACCTCTTGCTACGGCTTGCTACGTAGTATATAAATTTGGTATCACTCATTCTTTCCCTCACTTAACTTAGGCATTCTCATATAACCTCTTTCTTATTCATACGGCTATGGCAGACGTAGGAAAAGCTCCAGCATAAACCATCATTTCACTTCTTCTCAAAGTCTTTCCTGGATATTTATCTTCTTCTCAAAGCTCATTCACTCAAAATATCACATTTCTTTTATAACTTTCACTACAATGGCCTCCAATAGGTGCTTTGGCAGTGTACATACTCTTCTTCTTAAAACTGTTGAGCTTTGCACTAGGTTTTCAAATTTTGTGGGCTATTATGTGGGGATTGGGAGCAACATATGACTCTCTTCAGTTACAAAATGCAAGATAGATAACCATTGTCGTCGACATCATCCTCAACGGGCTTGGGTTGTTCTACTGGATCATGCTTATGAAAAGGAAGGGGTACCGTCCATGCTCCAACAAGGTTAAGAAGATGGCTATTGAATCCGGCATGTCTCGTACTAGTAAGTTTTATTAAGCTTATCCTGCATTTTGTTCTTCCTCTTAAACTATTTCTCAACGTCGACAACTGGTATCCGGCTTTAGTGGCAATAGCCGGTGCGGTACAAAACTTTTTGATAAAAAATATATTGAGAACAAAGAAAGTATAAGAAAATCTTCTGTTCTGAAAGAGATTGAAAAGTGTTTTGAAGAATTTGTTGGTATGTCCATGGAAGACCCGACAGCAATGAAGGACATATTTCAAAACTTTGTTGCGAAATGTGGCCAGCATCTCGATAGGGGGATATAGAGGCGGAAGGATCTGGCCGGCATCTCAATAGCGGGGATATAGAGGCTAAAGGATCTGACAGACCGTAAAGTGAAGTGGAAGGTTCCAGACGGCGAAGTGATGTGGAGGGAACCGCACGGCCAAGTGAAGAGTAGTACTTTACTGCACCTGAAAGACTCGAAGAGCCAAAGAATTTGAAGAGGGAAGCTGATGACAACGACAACGGCAGACCGGTCGATTAGTAATTTACTACGTAGTTTGTTTTGATTTACCGGTGGTGTTTAATTTTGTTTGTTTTAATTTATCGGTGTGTTTCTCTATCTGTTTAAACAAAAATGTCAGGCCGTTTGATGCATTTGAGTACTTTGTAGTTTGTACGTAGAAGTGCTACCAATTGGCAATTGCGTATGCTGTAACTTTTTTATTTCAATACATTTACCTTTCAGTAAACTTTGTCTAACTAAAGTTCATTGCATTTCTAAATGGTAGCACTTCTAAATATGTCTCTTTTTTGAATACAAATGTCTCATTAGTGCTACCAAGCTATGTTGTTAAAACCGGACCGGATGACGATCCGGACAAGCGACCGGGGGTCAAGGGTCAACCTGGACCCGAGAGGGTCAACTCAAAGGCAAATGTACTTTAATTACTGAAAGAAAAAAAAATAGAGCATACGCAACTGGTAGCACTTCTACGTACAAAGTACTCAAACGCATCAAACGGCCTGACATTTTTGTTTAAACAGATAGAGAAACACACCAATACATTAAAACAAACAAAATTAAACACCACCGGTAAATCAAAACAAACTACGTAGTAAATTACTAATCGGTTAGTCTGATGTTGTCGTCATCAGCTTCCCTCTTCAAATTCTTCAAGTGCGTCAAAGTATTCTTCATTT